TCTGAACAAGAATTTCATTCATTTCCCCAAACAGAACATACAGTTACCTAAAAGAGGCCTGGGTAGCCTCTCATTTATATCTGAGAAGGACCAGCCATCTAATTTCTTGAGCAACATTCTCCTTCCCTCCCCTGCATCTCAATATTTTCCAATGCAATCTACACCTGATACAAAGGAAAACATCACTATTAGCATCTGTGGGGATGCTGTAAATTAGGACTTGATGAAACAGCGGAATTACTAACCAACCATCCAGTATGTGTGTATTCTGCTTGGAGACCCTACAAAGTAGCCTAAATCAGAGTTCTTGCCATAAATCAGCTCACACTCAAGTTGGAAAATTGAGAATTCAGTCAACAGTTTCAGAGAGATGGTGGCTTAAGCTTGCTTTGACCACTGCAAAAGACTTCAGCTAGAAAGTAAAAGGGAACAAAGGAACAAAGTCGAAGTTAGGAAATACAGGGCTTGTTCCACAGGCATTTACTAGTCCTGGCAAATGGGAGCAGAGGGTCCACGAGACCAGGCAGTAGGAGACATACGACTTGCTGACCGTTCAAAGGAATGCCATGAAAATCACCCTTTCCTGGATTCTTTCAGCTGCAGAAAGCCAGAAACACTAAAGGTTAAGAAAGTAGCTAGCAAACCCTTTTATAAGTAACTAGTGTCACCTTTTAAAAGATGATGCTGAGCCCAAGTTAAACGATCCTGAACCCAAGTGATTTCAATAAACAGCCAGGCTTAGAATCCTGGGTTAGAGACTCAACTAACCCATAATCTCATTAATCACTGAGCACCCCACACTTTTTTAAACTAACTCCTGACCACATAGCAAACCAGGAGTCTGGTGGAGCAAGAAAAAGGACCATGCACAGACAATAAACAACAGTCACTAGTGGGGAAGAGACAAATTTGCTCCAGAAAGACTTCGCCTGGACCATTCAGTTAGAAGTCCTTAGAGACTGCCTTTGCTCCAAAGCCTTCTAGCTGACAGCATCCCTGCAAAGGCCACTGGTGATGTTTTCCCGTGTGTCAGGTGTCAAAATATTTTAACTGTGAAATGCAGAAATAATCAGCCCACTTGTTTTTCACCTTCTCAGCTCTACCCCACCCCCTCTTCCACAAGGAGTGGGGTTTTCCACAGAAGAAAGGATGCAGGATGGTCTATGACCCATAGGCATGGGCTCCAGACTTTCATGTCTGAAATCCCTGTGGACTAAGTCCAGAAAGATAACTCAGTCATTTCAACCTGATGACTGTCTGGTGATCAAGGTGAGGTAAGTTAATAGTATTATTTCATAATCCCTTCAAATGTTTCCTGACCGCCCGCTGCAGGTGCGGGACTGACCCTGTCGACAGTACATTCCTGGCCATGTTGCCTAAGACAGCAAAAACTGAATTGACATTCACCCTCCTCACCTTCAAATTTCAAGACTGTATCGAATGTTAGAAGCAGCAGGTCCTTAGAGGCCATTAAGTCTACTCCTTCCTCTTTGACCAGATGAGGAAGCTGAGAACCACAGAGGGGTTATACTTGCCCAAGGTTACACAGCTGAGAGGTCACAGGCAACAGTCTCCATTCTTGCCCTGGGCTCCCAGCCTAGAGCACTTCCCCCTGAGATCACACAGACATCTCCTGCATTCTGAAACCTGGAAAACCTGCTCAAGCTCCCTTTCTTTTCAATGTCTATTTTCCACTTGTTATAAATCCAACCATCATTTTATGACACTTAATCTCTGCCAGGCACTACTAGAAGTGCTCTCTGCAAATTAACTCACTGACTTTCCCCAGCAACCCTAGAGGGCAGGTTACAGTGATTATCCCCATTTCACAGATGCAAAACCTGAGGTAGAGGCGACAGAATCAGGTCCATCTCATGAGACAGACTGGCTCCAGAGTCCCCACTCTTAACCACTTGTGATTATTTATGAAGGATAATTGCTTTAAATTATAAAATAATGGAAGAAGAAGTGCAAGCCTTGAAAAGGGCACGATCACTAGTGTATGATAATGAATCTAAGAGCTAAACCATACGTTAACACATGCAATATATTTCATGATTATTTTTTAAGGGATTGTGTGTCTGAGAGAAATATAGAAAGCATATTAACATTTTAAGCATTTTTAAAGGTAAAATGATCACATGCACAGTAGTCAGTCTGCCAGTTGAAATAGGCAGAATGTTACCTGAGCGCTGGTTCCACTTATGCTATTACATAAGTCAAGCTGTCGCCTGTCTTCTCCTACACTGGCCTTCATCCTTGGCTATGAGGCACCCCTTTTACATCAACCCCTCCAGAAATCAAACCTCAAAATAACACATTGAGGATTAAACTAAGAGACTGCACCTCTGAAGATTACATTTTTTTTTAAATGTCCAAAATCAAGATCACTGGAACAAATGCCCAATATTCAATTATGTTTTCACTCTCCTCCATACTAAAAATGATGTCAAATCTCATTACCTTGGTTATCCAGGAGAAGAAGTCCAGGAACAATCATGGTAGAAATAAGAAAATTACGATTGTGCCCAAGATCAACTTTCAAGGGAAAAACTGCAGTCAAGCTAAGAAGATGCACTATCACAGAAAAAAGTTACCTGGCATTTTATCAGCCAAAAGTCTTACTGTTGAGTGTGGAAAGGCCCATTCAAAATGCAACAGATCCTAAAATTCCTAAAATCAGAAAAGTATTGCCTTAGATACGAACCCCACAGTACAGAGAATCAAAGCAGAGAGCAGAGCCAGGCATACGGTAGGTCCTCAAATATCTGTCAAACACATATAAGAAAATGTTCACCAAAGAGAGAAACATGATACAGACTGTCAGAATGCAAAATAGCAAGCGACACTGCTTAGAGGTTTTAAGAATTTTTAAATACCAAGATGATAGCAAAAGAACTAAGGATTATATAGACTGGACAAAAATGGCAGCGTACCACTCAATCAGGGTAAAATGCTCAGGTACAGGTCTAGTACCTGACCTGTACTTCTTAAGAAAAAGAACTCTAAGCCCAGCCTGGCCTAAGGGAGGGATCTGGACTCAAGCCCTACAGCGTGGCATAATATTTGCAGTACAACTCTAACATGGCAAAATTCCCTGAATTTGGTGCGCTTCCACTATAACACTGTTTTTAATTTAGAACTCTCAACAGGAGTTGCCAGGCTTGACCCATCTCTTCATAACAAATTCAAGGTCCTGCTAAAGCAATATAAATACAAATGCAATTAAACAAAAACTACATAAACCAGGTCTGCCATATCTGATCAGTAAATTAAAGCATAATAAAATTACAGTTGGCCTGGCAGTTTGAGAATAATTTGGACTCTATGCAGTACCATTCTAGTCATATTTCAATTGCAAGGGGTTTTCCGACATTTATACCATAAATCTTTTTTCTGGGGAGTCACACTTGGTCATAAACTCTGGCTGAATGTGAAGTGAGAGCTTAACTACCAGTATAGGGGCTACCAATTCTGTACAGAATCCTTAATATAGAAGTATTATTATAGTCCTTTATGTTTTAATAACTCTTTAGAACACATTTCCTTTTCTCATATACCAAAGGAGGTCACGTAACAGACCTCACCTGAAATTCCTGCGAAATTTAAGTCTGAGCCACAACAGTAGTTTCTTATAAAAGCACAATGAGAAAATATTCCAAACTCTTCTGCAGTACTCACATGATTAAGCAAACAAACAAAAAAAAAGGTGTAAAACACAAGTGAGGAACCTGATGAAATTTCATAGAGCCTTAGTTACCAACTACTATTTTCCTCTCTACCTCTAAGTGTTTCTAAACTGCTTAAAGGACAGGAGAGGTGCTTCAAAGGAAAGTCTAATGACACCTGTTACATAACCTGCTCTTGGTTGACCAGGTTATGTGGCTTTGATAAGGAAGAAAATACAATCAAAAGCAGGACAAACACTAATTCTCTGTTCCGCCTTCTCACATTAGCCAGGGCATTCACCTGAGTCACATGTCCAATAGCTAGCTCTGTGCCTCAGTTTCTCTAATCACTAACCATGAGGTTTGATGCTATCCAAATTCCTACTGGATCAAAGTTAATGAGCACAACAATCACACAGAAAGTCCACATTGTAACATTAAACTGAAATGCTATGTTGTGGAAGAAAAAAGCCAAAGGTTTTTGCAGTAGTCATTTGTTTTCCTCCAAATAACTCCAAAGGAGTCAGCTTGGCCATAAATCAGGATAAGGTAATACCTGTGTGCTTTAAGAACGTGCATATAAAAACTCAAGACAAAAAAAAAAAAAAAAAACTCAAGACAGATAAATTAAAAAGCTTCCCAGGTTAAGCTGTCACTGCTTGGACTATCATGTTCAAAGATCAACCCACAGAACCCAAGAGAACAGGTCTTTGATTTTTTGTTGTGAAAAAAGGACTTCAATTCCCCTGACATCTTCAGGGCCTAGAACACAAGATGGCAAAGCTTTAGAAAACCTGGGGCCCCATAGGACCCCAAATGATCAGTTCTTTCTAAACATCTTACATTTTCTTATTTTTTACCCAATTGGTGGGGGTCTGGTGATAAAACCTCTTTAACTCTGGGTCTGCAGAGGTCTGCCTCGACCCAGGCAGGGGTCAAGAAGGGAGACGCTGCGCAAACACAGATGTTGCTGCCAGCTGAAACCAAGGAGGGGGGCGGGGGCTGCTATGGGTTCCTAAGGAGGCAGATGGATTCTCTCCTGGAAATCTAATTGGTGTCTGGGAAACGAGAGCTGGGTTTCCAAGGCGGCCTGAGCACCCAGCTTCTACAGGGCCCTTCATAGGCGAGGAAGCCTCCTTGGCGCCAGCACAGGACGTCATCATGCCCCACCGTGGAAAACTCCCAGCACAGGAACGTTAGGGGACCACCACGCACACCCCAGGTTCCCAGGGGAAGAGACCCACAAAATAATCCTATGGAAGTCCAACGGAATTCTGGCCGCCTCTCCTAACCAGGATAACTATAGATACCTTTTAAAGCACACTTATGTTTTCACGCGAAAGAAACGTTGGCGCTTGTGTCCTGAGCGGAATTCCGCTCGCTCTGCTGCTCTCCGGGGACCCGGCCCCGCCGCGCACCCCTCACCCGGCGCCAGGCACTGATGGCGAGGGGCGATCCCAGCTTTCGAGGCTCTCCCTTCTCCACTGCAGGAAGACCGCTGATTTCCCCGGCACCCGAACCACAGAGACCCAGCTTCCACCCACCCATTCCCGGCCCCCGGCGCGGGGCCGACAGGGGGCGAGAGGGGCCGCGCGGCCAGGGGACCCCGCGCTCCGCCGCCGCCGCGCCGCCTCTGCACTTGTTGCAGTCCCCGAGGGGCCGAGAGGCGGCGGCCATCCTCCTCGCCGCTGAGCCCGCGGCAGCACCCCCTTCCCACCCCCTGGAGACCCTGGACCCTCGAGAAAGTAGCTCCGCGACGGCGAACTCAAGTGAGGCGGACAAAGTTTTCCGCCCCGAGGGGCCGAGGGACGCGAGGATGGAGCCCCCAAAGAGCACTTACCCGGAGCTGCGGCCCCGCAGCCTCCGGCGCCCGAGCGAGGCGCTGCCCCGGCGCCCAGCCCGCGGGCGCTCGGAACGCGCCGCCGGAGCCGGGAAGGCTCTCCCCAAGCGGCCCACGCCCGGCGGCTGCGGCGCGGCCCGGCCAGCGCGAGGGGGCGGAGCCGAAGCCGCGCTCCGGGGCCGGGCTGGCTGCGCCCGCCGCTGGGGACGCCCCGCTTACTCCGCGCCTGCCGGCTGCCGCTGGATCCGGCATCACATGGCCCGGCCTGCCCGCCGCCGCGCCCGACACCGGCTCCAGGAAGAAACCTGAAGCTGCCCTACCGCACGGGCTCCGCCGGCCCCCTCCCGCCGCCGGCGGCCGCTCGCCTGGGCTTCCCTCCCCCGGCCCCCAGCACCAGGACCGGGAGAGGCTGCGGGACCGGGGGCGCGAGGTTGCGCCCGAATGGCGGCGCCCGCGCGCCCCGGATCCCACAGGAGTCAGGGGCCGGCTGCCCGCTCCTGAAAGGAGATGTGCAGGGCCCGAGGAAGGCCCAGGCTGCCCTCGGCCAAAAGCCACCACCGTTGTGACTGAACGTGCTCCAATTCTTACCTAAACATCAGTAGACGCCTCTTGTTTCTCGAGGCTCACGATCCTCCAGCCCAGAGTTTCACCAGCTCTGTGATTCTCTGCGTGTTCACGTCCGCAAGGGGCTCATTAGAAGTCATCATAATTCTGACCAGTGCAAATTCGATACATGAAGCAAGGCACCCAAAGCTGGTGCTCTGGGACAACCCAGAGGGATGGGGTGGGGAGGGAGGCGGGAGGCAGGTTCAGGATGGGGGACACATGTACACCTGTGGCTGATTCATGATGTATGGCAAAAACCACCACAATATTGTAATTAGTCTCCAATTAAAATAAAAATTAACTTTTTAAAAAAGAATGAACAACAAAAAATAAAATCAGAATTTTGTTTTGTTTTGTTTTTTCCATTTATTTTTATTCGTTGGAGGCTAATTACTTTACAATATTATAGTGGTTTTTGCCATACATTGACATGAATCAGCCATGGATTTACATGTGTTCCCCATCCTGATCCCTCCTCCCGCCTCCCTCTCCATCCCATCCCTCTGGGTCTTCCCAGTGCACCAGCCCTGAGTACCTGTCTCATGCATCCAGCCTGGGCTGGTGATCTGTTTCACCCTTGATAGTATACTTGTTTCAATGCTGTTCTCTCTGAACATCCCACCCTCGCCTTCTCCCACAGAGTCTAAAAGTCTATTCTGTACATCTGTGTTTCTTTTTCTGTTTTGCATATAGGGTTATCGTTACCATCTTTTAAAATTCCATGTATATGCGTTAGTATACTGTATTGGTCTTTATCTTTCTGGCTTACTTCACTCTGTATAATGGGCTCCAGTTTCATCCATCTCATTAGAACTGAATATTAAAAGCAGCAAGGGAAAAACAACAAATAACACACAAAGGGATTCCCATAAGGATAACAGCTGATCTATCAATAGAAACTGTTCAGGCCAGAAGGGAATGGCAGGATATACTTAAAGTAATGAAAGAGAATAACCTACAACCCAGATTACTGTACCCAGCAAGGATCTCATTCAGATATGAAGGAGAATTCAAAAGCTTTACAGACAAGCAAAAGCTTAGAGAATTCAGCACCACCAAACCAGCTCTTCAACAAATGCTAAAGGATCTTCTCTAGACAGAAAACACAGAAAGGTTGTATAAACGTGAACCCAAAACAACAAAGTAAATGGCAACGGGACCATACCTATCAATAATTACCTTAAATGTAAATGGTTTGAATGCCCCAACCAAAAGACAAAGGCTGGCTGAATGGATACAAAAGCAAGACCCCTATAGATGCTGTCTACAAGAGACCCACCTCAAAACAAGGGACACATACAGACTGAAAGTGAAGGGCTGGAAAAAAATATTTCATGCAAATGGAGACCAAAAGAAAGCAGGAGTCGCAATACTCATATCAGATAAAATAGACTTTAAAATAAAGGCTGTGAAAAGAGACAAAGAAGGACACTACATAATGATCAAAGGATCAATCCAAGAAGAAGATATAACAATTATAAATATACATGCACCCAACATAGGAGCACCGCAATATATAAGGCAAATGCCAACAAGTATGAAAGGGGAAATTAACAATAACACAATAATAGTGGGAGACTTTAATACCCCACTCACACCTATGGATAGATCAACTAAACAGAAGATTAACAAGGAAACACAAACTTTAAATGACACAATGAACCAGCTAGACCTAATTGATATCTATAGGACATTTCACCCCAAAACAATCAATTTCACCTCTTTCTCAAGTGCACACGGAACCTTCTCCAGAATAGATCACATCCTGGGCCATAAATCTAGCCTTGGTAAATTCAAAAAAATTAAAATCATTCCAGTCATCTTTTCTGACCACAATGCAGTAAGACTAGATCTAAATTGCAGGGAAAAAAAAAAAACAACTATTAAAAATTCAAACATATGGAGATTAAAATCAGAATTTTTTTAAAAGTCATCATAATTAAAAAACATGAAAACCCTGTTGCTTACCATGAACAGCAATATGAGAGGGAATCCCTTACCATCCAAGGCGGTTTTCTAGTTAGAACTGATCACAACCCCAAGCAGAGAAGCCTCTCTGTCAGTCAGGCCTTCCTAAAAGAGATTTCAGCTAATGATAGCAGCTTTAAAGACAAAAGTACCCATTTGATCTTTCTCGTAAGTAGATAGTGAAGGACAGGGAAGCCTGGCATGCTGCAATCCATGGGGTCGAAAAGAGTCTAACTCGACTTAGCGACTAAACAGCAACCCATTTGCTTTTTCTCATAATTACCTTGAGTCTCTGTTTTGGTTTTCCTATAAAGATCTGTCAGAACCAGACAGAACCAGGACAAGGGAGTAGGCCAAAGGAACTGTATACCAAGATATTCCTTCACCAGCTGTCACTGACACCTCTCCCAGGCGGTGGTCAGTTTCGCCTCCCTGTCTGTCCTCAACTTGCCCAGGCCACCTTGGGGACAGGGCAGCCAGAGCGAGAGGGCAAAGCTGAAGAGGAGAGCAAGAAAACCCTACCTTGTGTCTGAAGTCCTTCGCCCTGTTCCAAGGCAAAGGTCCAGCCTTTTGCCTTGATAAAGGGGCCCCACCCTGTCATTGCACTCCGGACTCCATGCTACAATCCCAGCTTCTACTTCACAGATCTGGGACCCCAAGGCCTGGCCTCAGGCATGGCCTTTTAAAGACAAATAAGTTCCTGCCCATTGCCAGGTCTTCAAAGTACTGGACAAAAAATAAAAACAATAATATTCCATTCAAAACTAAAACATACTTCCAACCATAAATGTCTACTGGACTTGAGATGAACCAACACACTGGACAAAAATGGTTTCCAATCCATGGTGAGCAAAAGCCTGGATGGATTAGTGGCCTTAGTTGTTATGCTCCTTTCTATATCACTTCAGTTCAGTTTAGTCGCTCAGTTGTGTCTGACTCTATGCGACTCCATGAACTGCAGCATGCCAGGCCTCCCTGTCCATCACCAACTCCTGGAGTCCACCCAAACTCCTGTACATTGAGTCGGTGATGCCATCCAACTGTCTCATCCTTTGTCATCCTCTTCTCCTCCTGCCCTCAATCTTTCCCAGCATCAGGGTCTTTTCAAATGAGTCAGCTCTTCACATCAGGTGGCCAAAGTATTGGAGTTTCAGCTTCAACGTCAGTCCTTCCAACGAACACCCAGGACTGATCTCCTTTAAGATGGACTGGTTGGATCTCCTTGCAGTCCAAGGGACTCTCAAGAATCTTCTCCAACACCACAGTTCAAAAGCATCAATGTTTCAGCACTCAGCTTTCTGTATAGTCCAGCTCTCATGCATACATGACTACTGGAAAAACCATAGCCTTGACTAGACAGACCTGTGTGGACAAGGTAATGTCTCTGCTTTTTAATATGCTGTCTAGGTTGGTTGTAACTTTCCTTCCAAGGAGTAAGCGTCTTTTAATTTCATGGCTGCAGTCACCATCTGCAGTGATTTTGGAGCCCAAAAAAATAAAGTCAGCCACTGTTTCCACTATTTCTCTATCTATTTGCCATGAAGTGATGGGACCAGATGCCATGATCTTAGTTTTCTGAATGTTGAGCTTGAAGCCAACTTTTTTGCTCTCCTCTTTCACTTTCATCAAGAGGCTCTTTAGTTCCTCTTCACTTTCTGCCATAAGGGTGGTGTCATCTGCATATCTGAGGTTATTGATATTTCTCCCAGCAATCTTGATTCCAGCTTGTGCTTCTTCCAGCCCAGCGTTTCTCATGATGTACTCTGCATATAAGTTAAAGACGCAGCCTTGACATACTCCTTTTCCTATTTGGAACCAGTCTGTTGTTCCATGTCCAGTTCTAACTGTTGCTTCCTGACCTGCATACAGGTTTCTCAAGAGGCAGGTCAGATGGTCTGCTATTCCCATCTCTTTCAGAATTTTCCAGTTTATTGTGATCCACACAGTCAAAGGCTTTGGCATAGTCAATAAAGCAGAAATAGATGTTTTTTCTGGAACTCTCTTTTTCCTCTGCCTTTTCTAAAACCAGCTTGAACATCTGGAAGTTCACGGTTCACATATTGCTGAAGCCTGGCTTGGAGAATTTTGAGCATTACTTTACTAGCGTGTGAGATGAGTGCAATTATGTGGTAGTTTGAGCATTCTTTGGCATTGCCTTTCTTAGGGATTGGAATGAAAACTGACCTTTGCCAGTCCTGTGGACACTGCAGAGTTTTCCAAATTTGCTGACATATTGAGTGCAGCACCTTCACAGCATCATCTTTTAGGATTTGAATTAGCTAAACTGGAATTCCATCACCTCCACTAGCTTTGTTCTTGTTCGTAGTGATGCTTCATAAGGCCCACTTGACTTCACATTCCAGGATGTCTGGCTCTAGATGAGTGATCACAGCATCGTGATTATCTGGGTCGTGAAGATCTTTTTTGCACAGTTCTGTGTATTCTTGCCACCTCTTCTACATCACTAGTACTGTGCATTTTCTTCTTTCTTTCTCCCCTATCCTTTTTTCAGTACTCTGTCAGAGAGAAGAAAATAAGAAAATGTGGGAGGAGGACCAACTATTATTAGAAGTTACCCCCAAACCCCTTCTCCACTAAAAGAAAATAAACAAGCAAAACTAGTGTTTGTGGAACCCTCAGCACCTGAGGACATATAATCATGCTATCTGCAGTTTTCTTGTCTTCTCTCAAGCTATGAGCTTGATCCATATCAAATTCTCTTGGTTCAAATATTA